TCAAGAGGTTGCCACTTTTCTAAGCAAGCAAGGCTCTTCTGCATTAAACTACTGAACAAAAAAAAAAATTGAAGAAATCCCACAAAGGGAATTTTCTTCCTCGTTGCATTTGCTGCCTTTTCTAGCTGGGAATAGCTGTACCAGTTGGTTCCATAACTTGTCCCAATTAATATTTTTAGTTCGGGAATTTGGACCAGTTTTCTAACTCTTCAAAGGCATCCCCACATTCGAGTGCATTGCAGTAATCCAAATCGGATATGATCAAGACGTGTGTCACCGTGGCCAGAGCCAGCACCTCAAGGAATTGGTGCAGTTGGTGCTAAAGCTATGAATGCGCAAAAGCACTTCTGGCCACCCCACATACTTAGCCTTCCAGCATCAAAATTAAATCCAAGGGTAGCCCCAACTAACACAAGTTGAATCTATATCACACAAACTGACTTATGTCTAACCGGGGTGTAGCTACACTGTAGAATGAATGCAGTTTGGCACCTATGATGGAACTGTATAAGTCTCAGCTACTTTTGTTAGGCTGCCTCACACACAGTTTGGAAATGTCACTTTTATGTTAGTTTTATGAGAGTGGAGTTCTAGAAAACCTTTCCTGGTTTGGATCAATACTTTTGCCCGGGGAAAGGGAGCCATCTTTAGTTCAGGGCAGTGGTTCCCAACCTGTGGTATGTGGACTGTCAGTGACATCGGCAGCACAGCAAGGCAGGAACAGATCAATCACAGCCACCTTAGGCTATAAACTACTTTATTTTACAGCTATATACCTAATCAGTGGTTCTCAACCTGGGGTCCCCAGATGTTTTTGGCCTACAACTCCCAGAAATCCCAGCCAGTTTACCAGCTGTTAGGATTTCTGGGAGTTGGAAGGCCAAAAACATCTGGGGACCCCAGGTTGAGAACCACTGCGATAAATAAATAAAATAACACTCAGCACATCGTAAACTTACTTCTTTACCATCTGATGGTAACATTGCGAACTCACTAACTGTTATCAGTACTAGTCCACACCTCTTGCATTCCAGAGTGACGCACAACGCAGCGTCCATTTGTTCTATACACTTGATTTATGACCTCTCTAGGAATGCCGTTCCCTCCATGGTTCAGTTAACTCTTTCCACACAGGAATACATTACACTCGGCACATAGCTACTGCATTTTAAACATATATACATACATATTTTGAAATCTACATTATAAATTGCAAACAGCTTCAACATGGACCAGCAGTGGTCCGCAAGAATTAAAATATGGTCCACGACCTCATCATTACTACACCATTGCAACAAGAGCAACTGGTCTCACGAAACCCTCTTGTGGTGCCGAGGCTTATTATATATGGTTTTCTATGGGCAAGCAGATGGTGACTAGTAGATGGCATATGTTCTGTATCAGAAACTAGAGCTGATGTGGTCTGTCCAATGCAATTTTCTGAATCAGCACCCCAAATAACCAAACCAAATCTAAAGTTGACCAAAAATTGATTTGTAACCCCTTTGGTACTAATGTTGGAGAGTGGCCCCTGATCAAAGTGGCCCCTGGTCAAAAAAGGCTGGGAACCACTGGTTTAGGGTTATTACCACCAGGGAATCTTTAAAGCAAGATGTGTCTGTAGTTGGTCCCAGCAAGATCCATGCTTGGACAAGCCATTTCAAACCAATGACCAACTAACTAATCTGGGAACTCATCCAGCTATACTGGCCTACCTCTGGTCAGTGACAGTCTGTGGAGTTTCCAGTGCCTTCAGCAAGGTGCCAGGCCTCAATAGGAGGGACCTGCTTTCTCTACCTCTGGCCTGATCACCTTGGGCATTGGGCATCCCAGAGAATTGTGCTTTCCAGAGAAAGCAAGCAAGGGAAACTTCCATCTTTTGTCTCCAGAATCATTCACAATCAGCAACTTCAAGAACAACCAGTTAGCTTTAAACTTTAAGTATGGCCTTTGTTGTGGGAAAATCCAATGCCTGGGTGGAGATAGACACAAGATTAATTAATAAATCGTTATCGTTTCTTGAAACGTTTATTCTGTGGGGTTCCTTGCTCTAACAGCAAGGCAATCCAGCATTCCCCCAAGCTGATAGAAAGTCAGGACATGTTAACGCTAAAGACATTTAAAGCAGCTTGGGTGCGACAGCACAGCACCAATTTAACTATCATGGCTCAATGCTGTAGAATCCAGCACTCTTTGGCAGAAAATGCGAAAAACTTCATAAAACTACAACTCGCATGATTTCATAGCACTGAGCCACAGCAGTTCAAATGGTATCAAATTGGGTTAAGTCTGCAGTGTAGATGTCCTGAGTCGCCTACAGGCTGAGAGGGGTGGTATACAAATATAGTAAAGAATAAGTAAACAGTAACTCTGTCTTGTCTTGCCCCTTTCCAGCCCATTCTTGACAACAGAGACCGGTTTAGGACCAACGCAGCCTCCTTGGATTGGGCTGGAAAGAAGTAGTAGAGTATCACTTTCATATTGATGACACCACACCCCAGAACATCAGATGGCCTCTCCCAGAGTCCTGGAATATGCATCGGTTGTGGTATGTTGCTTTCCAGTGTAGGCGAAGCAGAACATAACTCTGCCAGCTGATATGTACAGTATGCAAAAATGACACAGGATCTTCTCATTCCTAATTCTAATTGACACCCAGGGGATACAGAACGAAAATTCCATTGCTCTCCAAGGGAAACATCAAGGCAATACACCAATACAAATTATTGTATTTAATCATCTGATTTTATGTATTTATTTGTTTGCCCTATATGTGAAAGTCTCTATCTTCACTTATCTCACTCAACAACATCATACAGAGTAAAATAGAGGGGCTCTTTCAAAGTACAGTATGTAGTTAACACATTTTGTATCCCATTGAACTGCTGTGGGTCTGCCCTGCAGCATCCTGGGCTTTGTACTTTGAGAAAGCACTGGTCTCGGGGTTTCTAAATTGTCCTCCCAAAATCTGAAAGTCCCGGACTTCCACTGGATGGAAACAGAGGCGAATGTAGAAATATAGTGCTAAAGGTTCTGTAGTGTGAATGTGCTCTCAAACCAAAACAATACAGTAGAGTCTCACTTATCTGACCTTCACTTATCCAACATTCCGTCTTATCCAACGCTCTTATCCGACAACCCCCTTTTCCTCCAGCATTTCCCTTTCAAGCAAAGGAGCGCTCCCCAACGTTCTCTCCATTCCCAACAAGTGAAAAAAGCAAGACAAGGAGGAAGTGGGAGAGGAAAGGGGGAAAAGAAGCAGGATTGGAAGTGGAAGCATTCTTCCCTCCTTCTCTCTGTGACTCCTCTTTGGCATCCAGGCACTTCTTGCTGGGCCCTGCTAGCCCTGAGGCGTTGCCTTGCCTTAACTCTTTGAGACCCTGTTGTTAGTATTCTAGGTGTCTAGCACTGCATCAGATGGGTAACAGGAGGCTCCGTATTATCCGGCATTTTTGTTTATCCGACATTCTCCCAGCCCATTTCTGCCAGATAAGCGATACTCTACTGAACATGGAAATGGACAAGGAAGCTTATCCAAGACATGTGTGGCATCTTGGAGGTAGAAGCGGTAATTTTCTGGCAACTCCAAGGCACTGGGAACTCAAAAGTTTGCACAATATTTATTTTGTTTTTCCTTTCAGAAGTTGGCGTCTTGGAGGTAGAGGCAGTAATTATCTGGCAACTCCAAGGCACTGGGAACTCAAAAGTTTACACAATTTTTATTTTATTGTTTTTCCTTTTAGAAGTTTTTTTTCCAAAAAAATATTTTATTGTTATTTACAGTTCAGTTGGCTTCAAGCCTGTGGCAACCCAATCAATAAGAGACTCCCCAGAGGTGCCATCTTCAACAGCCCTGCCAAGTCTTTGCAAACTCAGAGAAGGTGTCCCTGTCCATCCAATGGTCCATGTTGTCCTCTTTTCTTAATGCATCTTTTAATAAAGAGCCTTCCTACTATGGACTTTGTTTTTATTCTTGTGGATCAACACAGCCACCGTTGTTCTGGGTATGGGGTCTTTGGTCTGCTTTCAGTATTTTCACAAAGCGCAGGAGTTCCTCTTGGCAGTGTTTGGGCACACTCAAAAAAGATTTCTATGCCACTTTTTAAGGGGCTCAACTACTCAAAACAATTTACAGAACATTAAATAATTCAGTCTTAAGGATTCATACAATACAAAAACATAAACCAAAAATCCCGAGTTAGTAAAACAGTCTTCTGTTAATATTAAACACAAGCATACAGTGTGTGGAGATGGACTGACAAAGGTATAGGGCCTAAGAGTCACAACTCCAGTAAGTAGGAGGCATCTTGCAGTCAAAGGCAATGCTGTTGGGGCATGTAAAAAATCAGTTTGTGGGTGTGTTAACTGAAAAATACAAAGCATTAAGCTAATTGGTTGGGCCACACCCAGATGCTAGCTGAGACTAGGAGTTTTGGCAACAGTAACATGTTTAAGTTTTCTATGCAGGAGCTGTGCAGGGACAGAGACAGTCAATTTGTATTTTTGCTTCTTGGCTGCTGGAAGAAGAACTCTCACATGTACACCTATGGACCATTTGAATTTCTCTAAAAGGGCATTGTGTGAGTCAATGCATTTTTTTCTCATAATTGTATATATATTGCTCTGCATTACAAAGATATTCCTGCTTCTTGGCAGGGGGTTGGACTGGATGGCCCATGAGGTCTCTTCCAACTCTTTGATTCTATGATTCTATAAGTAAGCTCCTTATTCTTTACTGGTCATCTGCGTGGCATACTTTTCCTCTGGCAAGTCAGTGTGTGGATTGGTGGCAATGTGAACTACCCATGGTTTATTTTACACCAAAAATGTCCCACGGCAAATATCTGCCTACAGGAGCCAGGTGGACTGGTATGTTAGACCTTACTCAAGGACTAGAGAAGAAGCAGGGTTGTCCACCATTCCTGGAGCTTCAATGTCGTTAAAATAAATAAGACCTGCAGCTCCCAGAATCCCCTCACCCAGAGGTTCTCAACTCTGTGGGTCTCAAGATGTTTTGACCTTCAACTCCCAGCTGGTAAACTGGCTGGGATTTTTGGGAGTTGTAGGCCAAAACACCTGGAGACCCACAGGTTGAGAACCACTGCCCTAACCAGTAAGGTTTGTGGCCCTTCCAACTGAGGAATTCTGGGAACAGTGGTACAATATTTAACCCCACTTCAATAGGTGAGATTCTGGAGCCTTAGCCAAGATGTCTAACTGTTTCTTCAACCCTCAGAGAGGTCCATTGCCCACTTGGTGGGAGCCGTTGTTCCCTCCCCCTTCGGCCCCATTCTGCTGCCTCTGCACCAGCTGCCAATAGGTCCCCTTCCTCTCCATGAGTTCCTGGTGGGTCCCCTTCTCCTTGATCTCCCCCTCCTCCAGGACCAGGATGAGATCCGCACGTTCCACGCTGTGCAGGCGGTGAGAGATGAGCAGCACGGAGCGCCTCCCACGAGCCTCCCCTTCGTAGATCTCCCTCTCCACCTGGGAAGGAGAAATTGAATCACTCCTATTACATCCTCCACAACCACAGCCTCATTTTCCCTACTAATTGCACTGCATAGAACAATAAAACCCACAAAGGGAACATGTTCATATTCTGCCTAGTTACCCCTAAAGTTAATCCGAAACCCATTACAGGTTTTGGACCTGTGTGGAAGGGCCCTGAGAAAGTGTGACTTGCCCAAAGGTACTGGTGGGTGGAGGTTTCCATGGCTGAGTAAGGATTTGAACTCTAGTCCCTAATTCCAAGTCTCATACCCAAGCCACAACATCCTGCCGGTTCTTTCTGTGCAGGGTGCTTATCACATTCAAACATTAGGTAATTTCTGCAGAGAGATACTTGCATTTTTTTCTGTGCAAAAGCATATGTACAATTTTATTGTATTCAGATACAAAAGCATGCATCGTGATCCATTTTCTCCACAGTAAACATCTTGCTTATATCTCTCCCCCCCCCCACACACACACACATTTTTTTGCATAGAATGATTTTCCCAGGACATTTGGGGTTATTCAAATACTGAAAAGTTACTTTGCAAAAGTCTTGCCACCACACTATTCTTCCTGATATGGTTTTCCAAGTATTAGAGAATATCTTTCTCAAGAAATAAGGAAGAATATCTGTTTCCCCTAAAAAAGGCTCAAGAGCAAGGGTAGTTCAGGGACTCACAAAAACAGGACGATTGCACAATGCCCACTTCCTCTCTCTGCCAATGCCTCCCACACCCAACTCACCTCCCTCTGGCTCTCCGTGTCCAGGGCACTGGTGGCATCATCCAGGATCAGCACTCTGGGGTCTCGGATCAAGGCTCGGGCGAGAGCGACCCCCTGCCGCTGCCCTCCAGAGATCTGGCCCCCTGTTTGCCCAGCATCTGAAGAAAGGAAGGCAAAGGAAGGTGATTTCAGATCACTACTTCAAATCCATTCTCTGGCTGCATCCCAGAAGAAGCATCTGGTGCTGAGATTTTGAACCAAGCAGTGGAGCATAACATTTCACTCACATCATGTCCATGCCGTAGTCAGAGGCGGCCCTAGGTAATTTTCAATGGTAAGCAAACAGTATTTTGGTGCCCCCCAACCAATCATTGATATATATTTTCTGTTTGTCGTGGGAGTTCTGTGTGCCATATTTGGTACAATTCCATCATTGGTGGAGTTCAGAATGCTCTTTGATTGTAGGTGAACTATACATCCCAGTAACTACACTTGCCGCACTTGCTCCCTTGCCTGGCCCGCTTTGGTCCGGAGGCGTGCCTGAAGACCCCGGCGTGTGCACCAAAAGTCACCTCTTCTCCTGACTTTCTCCTCAGCCATTGGGACCGAAGAGAGAGAGAGAGAGAGAGAGAGGTGGAGATGCCCACCTTTCCTGAAGGTAAGCGCAAAAACAAAGGAGGGAGCGGAGGTGGGAGATACCTCCAGCCGGAGGGGCTCTCTCTCTCTCTCTCTCTTGGTCCCAATGGCTGAAGAGAAAGTCAGGAGAAGAGGAGACTTTTGGTGCGCACGCTGGGGTCTTCAGACACCTCCGGACCCAAAGCGGGCCATGCGCAGTGGCTCCGCCCCTCGGCCCACCTGCGGATTGGGGAGAGGAGAGGAGGCGGGTGGAGCGCCGGGGGATCGGGAAAGGGAAAGGATTGAACTCGGAGAACGATTGAGCGCCGGCTCTGCTCACGCACCCGGTGGCCGGGTGGAGCAGGAACGAGAGGGGCTAGGCGAGGCTCAAGGGCCCGGCCCCTTTGGGAAGAGGATCGCCCGGCAGCGAGGCAAGAAAGCCGAGGCTCCCCCCGGACTGCTAGGGCTGTTGTGAGCTGAGGGGGCGCTCCTCAAGTGGCAGTCGAGGGGCATTTACAGAGGCGCCTCTGCGCCCCTGGCAAAAAAAAGTGTTCTGCAACCGCTTACTTCGCGTAATCGACGAGCCACCCCTGGCCATAGTTCAAATGTCTGGCACCAAATCTTCTCATGGCCAATTATGGGATCTTTTTTTTAAAAAAAAAAGGTGGGGAGGGGGGGAAATACTAGTATCCAGGTACTCCACCACTATGCTAGAGGTAGAGTCTATTTTGTGACTAGTTGGGGACAGGATGGACCAAAGGGTGGATGGATGGGAGGGAAGGGGAGCACCTACCTGTTTCATAGCCATGGCTCAGTCGGGTAACAAACCGGTGGGCTCCCACTCGGCGGGCTACCTGTGCCACTTCCTCCTGGCTCTTCTCACTCAAGCCATAAGCAATGTTCCCATGTAATGACCGAGCAAAAAGCACCGGGCTCTGGCTCACCAGGGCTACCTGCAGAAGAGGGAAAAGGATATGGAGGGCTGCTTTAATTTCCAGATCAATAGCAGGAAAGTCCCAGCCATGGGCGTGGATGCAGGAAGTGACTCTAAATCAGTGGTTCCCATCCTCTGGGCCTCTAGAGGTTTTGGACTTCAACTCCCAGAAATCCTGGTCAGCTTACCAGCTGCTAGGAACTTTGGGAGTTGAAGTCCAAAACACCTGAAGGCCCAAAGGTTGGGAACAACTGCTCACCATAGAATTAGACTGGAAGTCATAGAAATGCCCCGAGGAACCATTTTGTTTCCAGTTACATGTAGGAGCAATCTGTAAAAAATCAAATCTATGGATGTTTAACCCATCAATATAGATGGACCACTGGAGGCATATGGCAAGTTCAGAGAAGAGCAAAAAGGATGGTAAGAGATACAGAGAACAAAATATACAAGGATAGTTTGAGATAGTTGGGCATGTTCAGCCTGGTGCAAAGAAGATGGGATAAGAGGCAGAGTTGAATTGGACATTCAAGTCACGATCCCACCTGCATCGCAAGTGCGTTTGGTGGGAATGAGGGACAGGGCCTTCTCTGTGGTGGCCCCTCAAGTCTGGAACTCTCTCCCCAAGGACATCAGACAAGCCCCAACGTTTAGAAAGAACCTGAAGACCTGGCTGTTCCAGTGTGCCTTTCCAGATTAGGAAACTCCAGGCATCATGTCCCAAATGCACTTTGTTAGAGACTAGGATTGTCTGCACATTGCACCTACTTCCAAAAAACCTCTACATACCTCCTGTCAAGTTCAGCCCTTTTAAATTTTATCCATTACATTTGGCCTGGCCTTTAGGTTTTTAAATGCATCATGGTGCCATTGTTTTTAGTGTTTTATTGTTTTGCTTGATGTTTTATTATTTGCTTATGAGTTTCACTGTTATATTTGTATGTTGTTGTTTCTTGGCGGCCTTGGCCATTGTAAGCCGCATCGAGTCCTTCGGGAGGTTTTTGCGGGGTATAAATAAAGATAATAATAATAATAGAAGGAACTTCTTGATGATAAGAACTATTTATCAATGGAACCAACAATCTAAAGAGGTAGTGGGGTCTCCTTCTGCAGACATCTTCCGAAAGAGCCTCAACAGTCATCTGCTGGGGAATGCTGGAGATCCTGCACTGAGCAGAGGTTGGACTTGAAGGCCCATGAGTCCTTCTTCCAACTCTATAACTCTATTGTAATGCCTTCACATCAGATCTTAAGAGTGAGTTTCCATAAACAAATCACCGAGAGACCTCACTGTGTTTTCACAAGAGGAAAGAAGCCCTTACCTTTTGATGCAGGAAGTGATGCTCATATTCGCTCAGGTTTCTGCCGTCCAGCAACACTTGACCTTTCTGGGGCTCATAGAACCGTTCCAAGAGGGCCACAATGGTGCTCTTCCCAGACCCCGACGGGCCCACCAGGGCAGTCACCGTCCCAGGATGCAGCTCCAGGGACACCCCCTGAGGAGAAGGGACAAGGTGAGAATTGGGGAAGGGGGAAGTAATGTCCCATTCCAGGCTCTGGACTTGGTGGTTTCTTTCTGTGATAGATGGCCTTTAGCCATCATGAGAACCACCAAGGACTCCAGGCACAGTTGAATTGCAACTCCCAGCATTTTTACCACTAGCTGGGGCTCCTAGGAGTTTCAGTCCAATAACATCTAAAAGATTGCACTTTGTAATATCTCACTTGTTCCAGTTATTTTATTTTGTATTTATCCCATCTTTTTCCTCAATGGGACCCAAGTTGACTACAATCAAAAATGCATCCATTCCAAGCAGTTTTATAACAATTAAACAACACGTTACATTAAAACATTAATACTTGTTATATAAAATATGAGGAGAATAGTAAAAGTAAGTATAACTCGTCACCCCATTGAAGACCTTTTCAAATAGCCATTGCCCCACATTACCGTGTTTCCCCGAAAATAAGACACTGTCTTATATTTATTTTTCCTCCAGAAGACACAATATGACTTATTTTCAGGGGATGTCTTATTTTTATTAAGTACTAACTTGGGGACCTGGCAGTGTACGGGTTATTTGGGAAAGACATTGTTTGTCTGTGCTCCAAGTTTAGTCTAGATCCAAGGTCAGATGAATTCAGTGGGTATGGGTGAACTACAACTCTCATATGCAAGTCCCATGATCCATCCTCCTCCAAACCACACCACGATGCATAGTGGGTCATGTGGGCTATGTGTGCCAAATTTGGTTTTGATCAGTCATTTGTGTGGGTTGCAGTAGTCTCAGGAAGTGAGTGACGGTATTGCAAGTCCCATGGTACATTCTCCCCCAAACCACAGCAGGATATAGAGTCGGGCTCTGTATACCAAGTTTCGTCATGATCCGTCATTGGTGGGGGTCACAGTGGTCTTGGGAAGTGAGTGAAGGTATTGCAAGTCCCATCATCCATGATCCATCCTCTGCCAAACCACACCAGGATGTAGAGTGGGGCTGCCACATACATAAATACACCACCCGCCCGCCTGCCCCATACAAACTTTGACTTTTATTATAGACTAGCTTGGGGCCCTGGCACTGCCTGGGTTATTAGAGAAAGTGGATAATGGCGGTTCTGTGTGCCAGGTTTGGTCTTTATTGGATAAGGGTCGCATTGTTTTCAGGTACTGCAAGTCCCATCACCCGTGGTCAAGCGTCCTCCAAACTGCACCAGTATGTAGAGTGGGTCATGGGGGCTCTGTGTGCCAAGTTTGGTCTGTATTGGTAATTTTCTGACACAGCCTCAGGCCTTTTCCTTTCCTGTCACCTCAGAATGTTGGAGTTTTGAGGCTGCCCAATCAGAGACCATATGCAAATTGTACCACAGTGGCAGCCAATCAGAACGCTGCCACATACACCTCCCTCCTGTCCCCCCTCCACATACAAACACTGACTTTTATTATATACATAGATAGATATAGATATAGATAGTACAACTATCTGCATTTATGGGATGATCTCTCCGGGCTCAGTAGCAGACCGCTTGATGAAGCTTTTCCCCTCTCCCCTGGTGTTTGTGTCAGGTGAGAGAGACCCACAGACTGATGCTGGTCAGTGCTGGAGAGCAGCAGCTTTACTGGGGTTTGTGGGGGGGGGGGGTGAGAGAGACCCACACTGTTGCTGGTTGGGGCTGGGGGAGAGAGACCCCCAGTACAGAGTAAAATGGCAGCCACAGCTTTACTTCTTTCCCTGAGGACTCACAATACCTAAAGCAGTGTCCTGCTCCTCACTTCACGGAGGAGACTTTTACTTCTACTTTCTATGTCTCCCTCTATGCCTCAGCTTGCAACACGCACAGAATGACTGGGACCTGACAGGGAGAGATGACCTTGTATGCTGCATAGCCACATCTATCACTATGTCTTATTTTGGGGTATTGCTTATATTGTGCAAATGCTTAGAAATCCTACTACATCTTATTTTATGGGTATGAATTATTTTCAGGGAAACAGGGGTACCTTCAAATAGTCTTTCCCCACATTACCTTCAAGACAAGAGAATTGTCCCGGTCAGGATAGGAGAAAGACACCTCCTTCAGCAGTACGTGTCCCTGCAAATCTTTGGGAGCCAAGGTGCCGGAGGGGCTGATCTTGGGCATACGGTCGATGTATTCGAAGACCTTCTCCGAGGAACCAATGGCCTTTTGGACTTTGGGGTAAGAAAAGAGGAGGACCTGGCAGGGAGAAGAACACAGATGCTCTGCAAGGAAGGAAGCATTTGCAATGTTCTCGATGTTCGCTTACAATGTGCTCTACTTCTCAATAGCAACAAAAATACTTAGTTTTCCAACACAAAAAACAACAACCCACCCTTGCAAACCAAGTATGCAGCCTGGCATGAAAAGTGTTGAGGCTGCTCTCTCAAATATCCAAACAAGATTTAATGCTTCATGTAAAAGCACATCCCTCTCATTAGTCTGCAAATTTGCTTTCATCTTCAAGAAATGGTCAAGTGATAATCTACATAAAGGCATTTTTATTTTATTTTTATTTTGGGTTTTTTATGAATACTCCCATTAGAAAATGTATAAAGATGTGGGTGAATTACAATTTCCAGAATTGTTAGTCAATCCTTCCCAAACCCTGCCATTACTTAAAGTTGACCATATTGGGTTTGTGTGCCACGTTTGGCCCAGATCCGACATCAGCTGGGTTCAGTGTTATCTAGATAAGGGTGAACTACAACTCCCAGATTCCCAGGAAAGGGTTGGAAAGGGTTTGCTACAGGAAAGGGCTTGAAAGAGTTAGGGGAGAAGCAGTGGATGGGGTCATGCAAATGAAGAGAGAAAGGAACACTGGGATGTGCTCGCTATAACCTGCAATGTCATTGGAGAGAGTGGCTTACTGGCTTCTCAGCACTGGGAACAATAGACTGTTTGTGGAGACCAGAGGCTGTCGGTGAATGGACACTCCTGCCACATACACACATACAGATTTTCACTTTTATTATGTGTATAGATAATACCTGGGATCACATAAAAATTTGGGCAAAAAGAGGTCATAAGTGGGAAAAGTATAAATAAAAAACCAATGGGAGAAAAAAATGAATGAAGCCAAGAGTGTTTGAGGAGACCAGGACATCCGCAGGGAGACCAAGGTGCTTGTTTATAAAGCTAATGTCTTCCCAACCATGTTATATGCCTGCGAAACGTGGACTGTCTACAGATGTCACGCTCAACTCCTAGAATGATTCCATCAGCGCTGCCTCCAAAAAATCCTGCAAATCTCTTGGGAAGATAGGCAGACAAATGACATCGTGCTGGAAGAAGCAAAGACCACCAGCACTGAAGCGATGGTCCTCTGCCATCAACTCCGCTGGACTGGCCACATTGTCTGAATGCCCAAAGATCACCATCTCCCAAAGCAGCTACTATACTCTCAACTCAAGAACGGAAAGCATAATGTTGGTGGACAGGAAAAGAGATTGAAAGATGGGCTTAAAGCCAACCACAAAAACTGTGGCATAGACACCGAGAATTGGGAAGCCCTGGACGTTGAGTGCTCTAACTGGAGGTCAGTTGTGACCAGCAGTGCTGTGGACTTCAAAGAGGCATGAAGGGAGGGCGAAAGGGAGAAATGTGTCAAGAGGAAGGTGCACCAAGCCAACCCTGACCAGGACTGTCTTCCACCTGGAATCCGATGTCCTCACTGTGGGAGAGCATGCAGATCAAGACTAGGACTCCACAGCCACCTAAGGACCCACCACCAAGACACTACGCTTGGAGGACCATCATCCTTGGACAACAAAGGATCGCCTAAGTAAGTAAGTAAAGTAAGTAAATTGTTAAAGGGCAAAAGCTTGTGGCATATTTATCCATCAGACCTAGTTCGCTGTATGGGTGAACAAGTTTGCCTGCACACAACATGGATTCTGATTACATTCTTCTTCAAAAGGTCCCTCCACCCTGTCCCATTCATTGGCTCACCCGCACTGATGAGGAGAACTCCATCTCATACAGAAGAAAGGTGACAAGTTTGCCACTGGTCACTCGTCCCAGCGTGACGAGCTGGCCACCATAATACAGGATGCCAGCTTTGAGGGCCAGTTCTAAGAGCTGCAGGGCAGAAAATGGAGGTTAGGTCTCAAATACCAGACTTCCACTAAATCCCAGATACTCTTACACCACAATTGTGGGGGAAAGGACACTGCTCTCTATGAGGACCCAGGACGTACATTGCTGGTCCACATGTTGACCGCGTAGGCCCCAGCCTCCTTCTTGCTGAGCTTGAAGGTCTCCTGAAGCTTCTCCTCATAGCTTCGAGCCGCACCATCCTCGTTTGCAAAGCTGCGGACAGTCAAGATGGACTCGAAGTTCTCCACGGCCACCTCGTTGGCTTTTGCCAGAGACTCCTGGACCTCCCGTGCCAAGCGCTGGAAAAGAAGAATCAACGGATCACAACTTGGTCAACCAAAGCATGTGTACATCTGCTATTATCCATGGTTTTGTGTAACTCCAAGAATGAATTCCCCCACTGATTCCACTGTAGGGTGAAGGACCCAGCATGTTGAATCTAAATGACCGCTGTAATTGAAGGCTAACACCACCCGCATGCTTCTGCCTGGGTACCCACCTGGTGAAATTTCCCCGTGAGCTTTGGCAGCAAGAGGATGAAAGGCAAGGCCACAGTGGCAAAGAGAGCCAAGGGTACCGAGAGCCAGAGCATCATGCCGTAGAGGAAGACCCCCCGCATCAGGTACCACATCAGCAAGCTCATATCATGGTTCAGCGCCTCACTCATGGCGTCCGTGTCGGATGTCACTCGGGAAGTGATGTCCCCTGTGGTCAAGGAAAGAAAGGGTCACGCAATAGCAGAGTTAAGATCAGGATGGAGAATGTGATATCTTCATTTCCTCCCTGCCTGCCCTGTTTTCTCTTCATGTTGAGGGTCACCACTATTCCTTATTTATTTATTTTTATTTCATATCAAAAGCATTGCATACATTTGTATAAAACTGATAAAAATAGAAGCAGCACAAGCGACTAAATATCATTTGACCAAAAACAGGCAATAACAATGACATTGTCTGTAGCCTCCAACAATTCTTCCTCTGTACATGAGGCAAGGCACAGTGGACAAGCATACAGATGCGGAGTTGTCTGTTCTTGGGTCTGGAATCCTAGGCCCAAGCAATCCAAACAGGCATCGTTAGCACCTGCTGCATTTAGCAGTATTTTTATACCACCAGTCCAAAGAAGAACAGAAGCTTTTGGCCAGCCTAAGCTTCACAGGAAAGAAGATTAAGACAATGTATTGTCGAAGGCTTTCATGGCTGGAATCACTAGGTTCTTGTAGGTTTTTTCGGGCTATAGGGCCATGTTCTAGAAGCATTTCTCCTGACGTTTCGCCTGCATCTATGGCAAGCATCCTCAGAGGTAGTGACCTCACTACCTCTGAGGATGCTTGCCATAGATGCAGGCGAAACGTCAGGAGAAATGCCTCTAGAACATGGCCCTATAGCCCGAAAAAACCCACAAGAACCTAAGATTAAGACAGTTTATAAGCAATAACTTGTAATCCATCGCTTTGCATCAGATGATTCCAGATAGATCACTGCAACCAGCAAAATCTCTTTTTGTAATGTATTATTTTAAGTTATCTTATGACAGTCCCAGGTGGAGTTAACCCTTTATTCATCTTGTTTTCAGTAAACTCATTTTGGTTATCTTTTCACCTTGCCTAAAGTGCCTCTGTCTGTTAAGCCAGACAATATAGTTTTCCCAAAGGCTCAGACGTGCCATCACAGGGAGATAGGGACAGGATATAAATAAATATAAATATAGAATCATAGAATCAAAGAGTTGGAAGAGCCCTCATGGACCATCCAGTCCAACCCCTGCCAAGAAGCAGGAATATTGCATTCAAATCACCCCTGACAGATGGCCATCCAGCCTCTGTTTAAAAGCTTCCAAAGAAGGAGCCTCCACCACACTCCGGGACAGAGAGTTCCACTGCTGAACGGCTCTCACATTCAGGAAGTTCTTCCTCATGTTCAGATGGAATCTCCTTTCTTGTAGTTTGAAGCCATTGTTTCGTGTCCTAGTCTCCAGGGAAGCAGAAAACAAGCTTGCTCCCTCCTCCCTGTGGCTTCCTCTCACATATTTATACATGGCTATCATATCTCCTTCACTGCCTTCTCTTCTTCAGGCTAAACATGCCCAGCTCCTTAAGCCACTCCTCATAGGACTTGTTCTCCAGATTATTATTATTATTATTATTATTATTATTATTATTATTATTATGAGAAACAGTACTTATTGTTGTTATTTGAAAGGAAACCCTGTTAACAGCTTTCATGCTACTTTAAAAAAAATAGCTACATTATCGGAAGGCATAATACATTTCCTCCAATCCTATTTGTGAGGATTGAGAGAGTTTGATATGAATTTAAGGTGGTGATGGGGGGCCACGAACCAGAGGTCTTACCTGTCCGACTGGCCCGGAAGAAGCTGATCTCTTGACGCAGGATGGAGGCGAAGACCGTGCTCTGGAGGCGGGTGTGGAACTGGTTCATGGTGGTGTTGTAGAGGTAGTCGCAGACAAACTCCGTCACGGCACTGGGGAAAAAGGGAAAGGGGGTGGATCTCTGACCACCAGTGCCCCGATTACATCCCTCCCCGGCATTCACCCAGGCCTCCCACGAATTCTCCTGGACTTGCTTATTACCTGCCCACCGTGAGGACAGTCATCATCCAGAGGGCTTTCTGGAAGGCAGGAGTCCCGGCCTCAGTCACGATCCAGTCAGTCACTCGTCCCGTGTAATACGGGATGGCCATCTCCCCTACAAGACACAAAGGAAGGAGACTCAGGACCCTTGGGGACTTTGCAGGGAGGGGCCAGGTAAATAGGATGCTGGAGCTTTGACCTCCTTTTGCGTTGGAAAAGGGCTACACGGTGGCGTTTACAGGATAATTTCTAATAAGTTATAAATACATAAAAATGAAATGCATGTGTTTACAATGGACTAAACATTCAGTGAAATTGTAAAAAACATCTCGATTAAATGTAATTAAATTCATATTCATTTTGAAGAAATAAACCCCATTCACCTTTGCTTATTGGGGTGCGTGTGTATATATACTTGAGTATAAGCCGACCCGAATATAAGCCAAGACACCTAATTTTTCCACAAAAACTGGGAAAATGTATTGACTTGAGTCTTAGCCGAGGATGGGAAATGCAGCAGCTACTGGTAGATTTCAAAATAGAAATAGATACCATTAAAATTAGATTAAATGAGACATCCATAGGTTAAATGTTTTTGAATCTATATAAATAAAAAATGTATGTTCGTTTGTGGGATTAACATAACTCAAAAACCACTGGGCGAGTTGACACCAAATTTGGACACAAGACACCTATCAGGCCAAGAAGTGACCATCACCCATAAAAGCACTGAAAAACACAGTGGAAGGGACTTTAAAAGCAAAAAAAACCCAAAAATACATTATAATGCATGTGCAAAACACACACACACACACACACACACACACACATATATATATATATACACACACATGCACATATACACAAATATAGACACACATATATACACACATAAAACACATATACACAGACTGGGCCACAGCAACGCGTGGCAGGAGACAGCTAGTATTTTTATAAAACTGTAACTTAAGACTGTCCAACTCTGATTAAACTATTATTCTAGCCTCCTTCAATGTAAATGTGCTTACGTATCCTTCCAATAATAATAAAGAGAGCAAAATAATAAATATAATAATAACAATAATAAATGTAATAATAATGGAGAGTAAAATAAATGTAACTAAAAATAATACGGTAAAATAATGTAACTGTAATAATGTTAATAATAGAGTAAAATAATAAATGTAATAAAATAATAGAGTAATAAATAATAATAATAATAATAATAACAGAGTAAAATAATAAATAACCTTGGCTCGAGTATTAGCTGAGGGAAGCTTTTTCAGCCTAAAAAGGGGCTGAAAAACTATATACAGTTTGTGTGTGTGTGTGTGTGTGTGTGTGTACACATACATATACATATATAATTTCCCAAGTGTTGATGCCCCCAAGGTCTCCACTCACCTAGGGAAGAGGCCACCAGGAGCCCGGCGATGGCCACGAACCGCAGTGCCTCTGGCCTCATGCTGCTCACCAGGCGCCCCAAGGAGGCCGAAGGGGCTCCCTCCTTCTTCTCCTGGTCTCCTCCGTTCTGTGTCGGCCCCTTCAGGTGGTGCCAGAGGAGGGCCACGGCCACCACGGCCCCGTAGTGCAGGGCAAGGACGTCCACTCTGCCCCAGGAGAAGGCCAGCCATGGGGCACCCCCCATGGGGAAGGACAAGGACTGCAGGGTGGCGCAGCAGGGGGGCAGCAGGGCCAGCAGAGCGGCCGAGGGCAGCAGGGCAGAGGCCAGACCAGGGGGCAGGCCTGGCCGAAGGAGCATCGCCCCCAGGGTCAGACCCAGGCCCCGCACAAGAGCCAGGCCCCACAAAGACAGCAGCGGGCCCCACAGGGAGGGCAGGGCCCACCGCTGGGATAGGCCCAGGGACACCATGTCCACCAGCAGGAGAAGCAGCAAGGGGCGCAGCAAGGGGGACATCGTGAAGGAGGGTGCAGGAGAGGCAAGAAGTCCTCTTCCTTCTTCCTTCCTGCTTTCCTTCTTTCCTTACTTCCTTCCTTCTTGCTTTCCTTCCTTCTTGCTTTCCTTCCTTGCTTTTCTTCTTTGCTTGCTTGTTTTCCTTCTTTAACTCCTTCCTTCTTGTTTTCCTTCTATCCTTAGCTCCTTCCTTCTTGCTTTTTTCTTTGCTTGCTTGCTTTTCTTCTCTCCCTCCTTCCTTCCTCTTTGCTTTCCTTCCTTCCTCCTTTTCTCCTTTCCTTCCTTCCTTCTTTTCTCCTTTACTTCCTTCCTTCTTGCTTTTCTTCTTTGCTTGCTTTCCTTCTCTCCCTCCCTCCTTCCTTCTTGCTTTCCTTCCTTCCTTTCTTCTTTACCTTTTTCCTTCCTTCTTGCTTTCCTTCTCTCCTTCCTTCCTCCTTGCTTTCCTTCCTTCCTTTCTCCCTTCCTTCCTTCTTTTCTTCTCTCCCTCCTTCCTTCCTTCTCTTTCTTCTTTTCTTCCTCTCTCCCTCCTTCCTTCTTCTTCTTTCTCTCCTTCCTCCCTTCCTTCTTCTTCTCTTTCCTTCCTTCTTTCCTTCTTCTCCCTCCTTCCTTCCTCCTTGCTTTCCTTCCTCCTTTTCTCCTTTCCTTCCTTCCTTCCTTTCCTTTCCTTCCTTCCTTCTTGCTTTTTCTCCTTTGCTTGCTTTCCTTCTCTCCCTCCTTCCTTCCTCCTTGCTTTCCTTCCTTCTTCTTTAGCTTTTCCCTTCCTTCCTTACCTCCTTCCTTCCTGCTCTTCTTCTTTGCTTGCTTTGCTTTCCTTCTTATCTTCCTTCTTGCTTGTCTTCCTTCCTCAATCAGACAGATCCAAGGCGAGAACGAAGCCCTGCTGCTCCTCTGATCAAAGAGTTCCTTTGACAGCCTCCGACGGGACTTTGTCTTTTGAAAGAGGCGCCGCTGATTGGCTGAGACGCGCAAGAAGCCAAACGAACGGGCGCCCTCTGCCGGCCGCCTCCCGCAGCCGCGCCACAACAAACTAAAGGAAGCGGCGCCTGGGTTTAGTCTGTCTGTCCGAATGGTGAAAAAGGGATCCAAAGGAATGGAAAGTAGAGGAAGTGTAGAAGTCCGACGGATTGACAGATTCCTTATCCGCCCAGCTGGCAAGTCCCTGCCTGGGAAGCCCCTCCGCCGGCTGCCTTCTTCCAGGAGGCGCCCTGCTTTCCGGGAATCCGAAAGTGAAACCGGTTCGCATCAAAAGAGAGGCTTCGAAGGAGGGAGGAGTGGAGGGGAAAGGGGCGGGGAGAGGCAAGGGGAGGCCTCACATGTGTGTGCATGAACATATTGCATGTAGATATATTTATTTGTGTACTAGCCGTCCCCTGCCACGCGTTGCTGTGGCCCAGTCTGGTGATCTGGGAAATAAAGTAATGAGAAAGTGTTGGTTTCTAATATATGTAATTTCTTTATGCTTGTGGGTAAAGAGCATTCCTTGCTGTTTCTTTGTTAGTGTTGATGTGGAGAGTGTCTGGTTTGCCTACCCTGGAACATGCAACATATCATAGTCCTTCTTTAAGGGTCCCTTTCACATCTATGATACTATATCTCTCTGTGTGTGAATCATATCCCTGCTCCATGCCTGCGAAACGTGGACTGTCTACAGACGTCAAATGCAACTCCTGGAATGATTCCATCAGCGCTGCCTCCGGAAAATCCTGCAAATCTCTTGGGAAGACAGGCGGACAAACGTCAGCGGGCTGGAAGAAGCAAAGACTACTAGCATTGAAGCGATGGTCCTCCATCAACTCCACTAGACTGGCCATGTTGTCCGGATGCCCGACCACCGCCTCCCAAAGCAGTTGCTCTACTCCGAACTCAAGAATGGAAAACGGAATGTTGGTGGACAGGAAAAGAGATTTAAAGATGGGCTCAAAGCCAACCTTAAAAACTCTGGCATAGACACAGAGAACTGGGAAGCCCTGGCCCTTGAGCGCTCCAGCTGGAGGTCAGCTGTGACCAGCAGTGCTGTAGAATTTGAAGAGGCACGAATGGAGGGTGAAAGAGAGAAACGTGCCAAGAGGAAGGCGCGTCAAGCCAACCACCGGGACCGCCTTCCACCTGGAAACCAATGCCCTCACTGCGGGAGAAGATGCAGAGCAAGAATAGGGCTCCACAGCCACATACGGACCCACAAGAAAACCCATGATGGAAGACCATCTTACTCGTCCAACGAGGGATCGCCTAGTCAGTGGTTCTCAACCTGGGGTCCCCAGATGTTTTTGGCCTACAACTCCCAGAAATCCCAGCCACTTCACCAGCTGTTAGGATTTCTGGGAGTTGGAGGCCAAAAACATCTGGGGACCCCAGGTTGAGAACCACTGGCCTAAGTAAAGTGAAGGAGGAGGTGGGCTTCGCAGATTCTTTTTGCACGGTCTGCCAAGGCTTTAATGGTGCTTCTTTTTTGACTTGGGTGATGGTTGGAGTTTTGATGTAGATATCTATCTGTGTGTGTGGGTTTTCTGTAAACGGTGTGACCCAATTGTTGATCTGGGACATCTAGAACAAGAGAAGAACTTTTCCTTCTTGTTCCTTCCCTTTATTTCCTTTATCTCTGGCGGCCGCTAGTGGCCAATAGCGGGACTGCAGGAGCTCTCCTGCTTGCTTGCTTCCTTACTCTCGCTTTCGCTCTCTCATTCCGTCTCCTGGCTTCCCACTTCATCCGTTTTCAGAGGGAAAGGGGGCTGCTATGGACCGCCGGGGGCTTCCGAAGATCAACCTGGGGGTGAGTAAGGGGGGCAGGGAAGATGCTTGAGACTGAACCCCTTTCTTCCTGGGAGTCTTGCAGGGAGGTGGAGAGGCTGAGCCATGCAAGGGGGCGCAGAAGTTTTCAGAGGCGAGTCAGTTAGTGGTCCCAAGGCGAATTAAGCCATATCTTATGTCTGATTGCAAGGCAGGGAAGGTATTGAATGCCCCAGATCCAGCACTTCCATCTTGGGCTTTGCAGATGCAGGAAAGCAAAGGTCTTCCTGGTTCTGAAGTACTGGAGAATTAATACATATTGACACTCTTTGAGCTGCCAAGGCTCAAGGCTATGGAAAGCATGGGAGTTGGGTGAGGCACCAGCCCTGGTAGAACTACACATCACATGATCCCAATGGCATTGATCTCCACTTGACAGTTCCAAGTGGTGTCAAACTGCATACATACATTCATGCCCCAGTGTAGATGCACACTCAGCCTGGAAGCTCACCCAATGGGCCCTACCTCAAAAGTTTGTTGTGCATGCCCTTGACACTCACCCTTGAACCCTGCACAGACAGTCGGTCAATGGGAGGAGGCTGGTAGCCATGTAGTGGGTGGTTTTCACAGTGCTCAACCTTATTTCTCTCACAGTTGACAGCAACTTCCCATCGCACATTGGAGGGGGGGGGGCAATGCCAGCTAGCTTGTAGAGTTTATCAACAGATGTAGGTTTAAGACATCCTGTGATTATTCTGCATGTTTCGTTCAATGCAGAATGCAGAATAATCACAGGATGGAGGAAGACCCTCATGGGGGACTATGCAGTTGGTATTACCTGGTTTAGCTGCCCAAAGGGATACCTTTGCTGTTGCTGGGGGGACGCCAAGAGGAGTGGTAGTTCTCATAAAGCTTGTCCTTGATTTGAGACTACTGGGAGGAGGCTGGGTCGCTTTTACAGTGTTCAACCTTATTTCTCTCACATTTAGCAGCAACTTCCCATCGCACATCGGGGGGGGGGGGGGCAATGCCAGCCAGCTTGTAGTGTTTATCAACAGGTGTAGGTTTAAGACATCCTGTGATTATTCTGCATGTTTCATTCAATGCTATGTTCACCTGCTTTGCATGGCCAGACCTATGCCCAGTATTATGAAACATTCACACCTAGCTCCAGCAGACAAGAGTCCTTTGTCCCACCCTGGTCATTCCACAGATATATAAACCCTTTTTTCTAATTCCAACAGACCTCACTACCTCTGAGGATGCTTGCCATAGATGCAGGCGAAACGTCAGGAGAGAATGCCTCTAGACCACTGGCCATACAGCCCGAAAAAACCTACAACAACCCAGGGCAGGAATACTCCGCAGTTGAGTAAGACAAGGCCAGGGTGAGTCCGCACTGCCACATATTCCAGTTCAATGTGAATTTTTACAGATGGGCCTCAATCAACCATTGATCTGAAGAGGGCATTTCAGCCCATGTTCCTTCCTATCTCTCCCATGAGTCCAAAAGTGTTGTAAAGGGTCGATCCAAAGTGCTGCCAAAGTGTGTTAATTCAACAATTGTTTAAACACAATCCTTGGCCCTACAAACTCTGTCCAGATTGAGGAACTCCATTCAGTTGGGAAGGCGCCAACGGTTGGTGGAAAAGTACCTACTTTCTGCAGGTAAAGTCCAAAGTCCAGTCGCCAACAAGGATATCTCCTAGTGCTTAAGGCTTTAAGAGGAAAATGGGATCCTTTAGCAGAGTTGGCTTGCAAAAATACATTGTGTGTCCATCAGTTTCCAGTATTGGTGAGTCACTTCCAAGCAGGAGATGATATCTATTTTGGGGTGCTCAGCTCCATGCGAAGAGGGAAGATACAAGTTTGCACTAGTATCTCTGAGCCAAGAATGCCATTGTACCTCTCATGTTTGTGTAGGGATGTGAAAGTTAGACAGGAAAGAGAGCTGATAATGCAAAACATGAAGGCATTCGAAATGTGAGTCCTGAGGAGAGTCCCGTGGCCGCTACGGTCCATCAGATAAATGCATGCAACCCAGAGCCAGTGACGCTCAAACTCTCCCTAAAAGCCAAAATGATTGAAGTGTGACTCTTGTGCTGTGGGCACATCATGCCTTGACATGTCTTATAGAATCATAGAATCAAAGAGTTGGAAGAGACCTCCTGGGCCATCCAGTCCAACCCCATTCTGCCAAGAAGCAGGAATATTGCATTCAAAGCACCCCTGACAGATGGCCATCCAGCCTCTATTTAAAAGCTTCCAAAGAAAGAGCCTCTACCATACTCCGGGGCAGAGAGTTCCACTGCTGAACGGCTCTCACAGTCAGGAAGTTCTTCCTCATGTTCAGATGGAATCTCCTTTCTTGTAGTTTGAAGCCATTGTTCCGCGTCTTAGCTTCCAGGGAAGCAGAAAACAAGCTTGCTCCTTCCTCCCTGTGGCTTCCTCTCACATATTTATAAGCCTCATAAGCCGCCCTGAGTCCCCTTCGGGATGAGAAGGGCAGGGTAGAAGAAACTGAAATAAATAAATAAATAAATAAATAATACATGGCTATCATGTCTCCTCTCAGCCTTCTCTTCTTCAGGCTAAACATGCCCAGCTCCTTAAGCCGCTCCTCATAGGGCTTGTTCTCCAGACCCTTGATCATTTTAGTCTCCCTCCTCTGGACACATTCCAGCTTGTCAATATCTTTCTTGAATTGTGGTGCCCAGAATTGGACACAATATTCCAGGTGTGGTCTAACCAAGCAGAATAGAGGGGTAGCATTACTTCCCTAGATCTAGACACTATGCTCCTATTGATGCAGGCCAAAATCCCATTGGCTTTTTTTGCCGCCACATCACATTGTTGGCTCATGTTTAACTTGTTGCCCACAAGGACTCAAAGTTAAACATGAGCCAACCATGTGATTGTTGGAAAGGATTGTCTCACTGGAAAGGAAAATAATAGCGGCATTAAAAAAGCAACAGCAACACAGCCATATAATCAGAATATCGGAACCCCCGGTGGCGCAGTGGGTTAAAGCCCCTGTGCCGGCAGGACTGAAGACCGACAGGTCGCAGGTTCGAATCTGGGGAGAGGCGGATGAGCTCCCTCTATCAGCTCCAGCTCCTCATGCGGGGACATGAGAGAAGCCTCCCACAAGGATGATAAAAAACCAACAGATCATCCGGGTGTCCCCTGGGCAATGTCCTTGCAGACGGCCAATTATCTCACAACAGGAGCAACTCCTGACACACAAAAAAAAAAAAATCAACATCAGATATCAGGCAGGAAATCCCACAATATGACACCATCTTCCAGAGGGGCTCAGGGCGGCTTACAAAGCACTCTAAGGGCCCTTCCACATAGCCCTCTATCCCAGAATATCAAGGCAGAAAATCCCACAATATCTGCTTTGAGCTGGGTTATCTGAGGGCCCATCCGGACAGTACCTTTATCCCAGGATCTTCCACAGCAAACAGGAGGGTGGCCAGACACCGTTCCCTGTAAACATGGAAAAAATCGCTACAAAAGGCAAAACACACGAGATTTCCAGGTCCTGGAATATTGCAGTTTTTAGCCGACTATCATTGCATGTCTGTTTTTTATTTCATATCAAAAGCATTGCATAAATTAGTATAAAACTGATAAAAATAGAAGGATCACAGATGGCTTTTGACCAAAAACGGGCAACAGCAACGGCATTTGTCTGTAGCCTCCAACAATTCCTCCTCTGTACATGAGGCAGGGCACAGTGGACAAGCATACAGATGTGGAGTTGTCTGTTCTGCTCCACAGTCACACAAGGTGTGAGATTCTTTTAGGTAGTGCCATTTTGCCAAGTTGATCTGCCCACTCCGCTTCTGAGTCTATTCAGGGACTTCCTAAGTTCCCATTCTTGGTTTGCCCCTGGAGGAGGACCCTCCCTTGTGGGGGGCCATCCAGTTGGGGTTTCCTGGTTGAGCTGCCCAGAGGGATACCCTTGCTGTTGCTGGGGGGATGTGTTCAAAACCAGATGTCGTAGTGTATACCCTACGAGGACAATTCTCCTTCTTCACCCGTAACTAAGCACTTCCTCAAATTCCTTTCCTCTTCCAGACAACCATCATGGCTGTGGAGTTTGATGGAGGTGTTGTGGTGGGCTCCGACTCCCGAGTCTCTGCAGGGTAAGAACTTTGGGTGAATTTTTCCATTTGTGAATGCACAGGTATACATGTACAAGTGGTCAGCTGGGATGTCACTTTTGGTCACTCCTTCATCCATGGTGGAAGAATCACTTTAGGAAAAGTATCTGTAAGGGTTCACTACCGAAGCCAGAGTGGTGGTTTGGCTGTGGGATGGGGACTCTGGAGACCAGGGTTCAGTTCCCTGCTTGGCCTGGAAGCTCACTGGGTGACCTTGGCAAATCACACTCTCTCAGCTCAGAAGGCAAGGTCAGCCCACCTCTGAACAAACCTTACCAAGAAAACCCCATGAAAGGTTTACATTAGGATCAACATAAGTCAGAAATTACTTGAAGGCACACAACAATGATGAGTTATGAGGGTAGATTGCCTGGACAGTGCTCCTGAGAGTAGTCCTACTTGAACTCTTCTCAGGAATACTGTTCCCTGTGTTCTGGAAATGAAGGAAGGCTAGTGGCAAGAACGGGGCATTTTCAGTGGTGGCCTCACAGTTTTGAAATAGTATCCTCAGAAAGACTCACCTTTATTGTCCTTTCAGCTTCACATAGACACCACTATTATTGTCTTTTGAAGTATAATTCCAGTGAATTATACTTCTCACCCCGAAAGGGATTCAGGGCAGAGCACAGCATATATATGGCAAACACAAATGTTTATATACATACATAAACATTAAAAACATTTATCAAAATATTAAAATACACTATTTAAAACCATCCTAGTCATCCACAGTCAAATCTAATTGGCCTGGTCATCTTTCCTATTGCTGCTTTATTGCCCTGTCCCGAAAGCTTGGTCCCACAGCCAAGTTTTGACCATCCTTCTAAAGGACAGGAGAGAGGGGGCCGACCTGATCTCACCAGGAAGGGAGTTCCATAGCCGGGGAGCAACCACCGAGAAGGCCCTGTCTCTCGTCCCCACCAATCGTGCCTGCAACAATGGCGGGACGGAAAGCAGGGCCTCCCCGGAGATCTTAATCTCCATGATGGTTCATAGGGGGAGATGCATTCGGACAGGTAATTTGGGCCGGGGCCGTTTAGGGTTTGATAAGAACTATGGAGCCCCCGGTGGCGCAGTGGGTTAAAGCACTGAGCAGCTGAGCTTGTTGATCGAAAGGTCGCAGGTTCGATTCCGGGGAGCGGCGTGAGCTTCCGCTGTCAGCCCTAGCTTCTGCCAACCTAGCAGTTCGAAAACATGCAAATGTGAGTAGATCAATAGGTACCGCTCCTGCGGGAAGGTAACGGCGCTCCATGCAGTCATGCCGGCCACATGACCTTGGAGGTGTCTATGGACAACGCTGGCTCTTCGGCTTAGAAATGGAGATGAGCACCACACCCCAGAGTCAGACATGACTGGACTTAATGTCAGGGGACAACCTTTACCTTTACCTAGGCCAAAGCCAGCACTTTGAATTGTGCCCGGTAGCAAACTGGCAGCCAGTGGAGTTGGCGTAACATGGGAGTTGTATTCTCCTTGTATGCCGCCCCAGTTATTAACCTGGCTGCCTCTCATTGGACTATTTGAAGCTTCTGAGCAGTCTTCAAAGGCAGCCCCACATAGAGTGCATTGCAGTAGTCTATCCTAGATGTAACGAGAGCGTGGACCACCGCGGCCAAGTCTTACTTCCCAAGGTATGGGCGCAGCTAGTGCACAAGTTTTAATTGGGCGAATGCTCCCCTGGCTACCGCTGCAACTTGGCATTCCAGGCTCAGTGATGAGTCCAGGAGGATCCCCAAGCTGCGAACCTGTGCCTTCAAGGGGAGTGTAACCCAGCACAGGCTGTGACCCTATACCCTGTTCGGCCTTGCGACTGACCAGGAGGACCTCTGTCTTGTCTGGATTCAACTTCAATTTGCTCGCCCTCATCCAGACCGTCACAGCGGCCAGGCACCAGTTTAGGACTTGGACAGTCTCCTTAGCATCTGGTGGAAAGGAGTGATAGTGTTGGATGTTGCTATATGACGGTTGACTGAAAGGCATAATATCTTTCTTGGGAAGGGCCTTCTAAATTAGATCAGGGGCTGCTGGGTGTTGATCCTGTTGTTCCACCACACTTTGTCTCCTTCACTTGAGATCAAACTGGAATTTACAAAGTCTTGCTGTCCTTTCCCCAGGGAGTCCGTGGTGAACCGGGTCTTCAACAAGCTGGAGCCCCTCCATGAGCGGATTTACTGCGCACTCTCAGGATCAGCGGCTGATGCCCAGGCTATTGCCGACACAGTGAACTATCAATTGGAGCTCCACAGGTGAGGAAAGTGAGGGAGTCACTCAGGTGAACGTGGCCAGACTCTGACCATCACCATCCTGATCCTGGAAACTACATGCCAGAGGGAGTAGTCATGTTGTAATGAAAACAACCATAATTTTTGTGATACCACAAAAGAAGAGCACACTTGTGGCTTTTCACAACAAGAGCCTGCATTGCCAGGTGTGTAAGAGAGCAGGTAGATTGAAAACAAAAAGAAGAAGAAGGTGGTATAAAAATGTATGTAGTAACTACATTATGTTAGTAGGCAAGATGACCTGGGTGATCTTGGGTCAATTATGCACTCTCAGCCTCAGATAGGAAATAACTTGAAGGCACACAACAACAAAGCTTCACCGATGGAAAAGAAATTAGGGTCCTCCATCTTAAATAGTTGAGGGATGAAGACATTTCAGCAGAAACAGACTTCCTAAAAAGTGCCGAGAGTGCCTTGGACAGCGAGAAGATCCAACCAGTCCATACTTCAAGAAATAAAGCCTGACTGCTCATTGAAGGGAAGAATAGTAGAGGCCAAGATGAAGTACTTTGGCCACATCATGAGAAGAAAGGAAAGCTTAGAGAAGACAATGATGCTGGGGAAAATGGAAGGAAAAAGGAAGAGGGGCCGACCAAGGGCAAGATGGATGGATAGTATCCTTGAAGTGACTGGATTGACCTTGAAGGAGCTGGGGGTGGTGATGGCTGACAGGGAGCTCTGGTGTGGGCTGGTCCATGAAGTTATGAAGAGTTGGAAACAACTGAACGAATGAACAACAACAGACTTCCTATAGTAGTGGTTCCCAACCTTTCTTTGACCAGGGACTACTATGACCAGGGACCACTCTCCAACATTAGTACCAAAAGGGTTACGAACCAGTTTTTGGTCAAGTTTAGATTCCCTTTGGTTATTTGGGATGCTGATTCAGAAAATTGCATTGGATAGACCACATCAGCTCTAGTTTCTGATACAGAACATACACTATCCCGTAGTCACCATCTGCTACCCACAGAAAACCATATTTAATAATCTAGAGATGATTTGGGAGTAGTAATCTTTTGTGGGTAGTCAGCCTCTCCTATCATAACATCGTCATTGCCTCGGCACTATAAGGGTTTCACAAGACCGGTCATTCTTGTTGCCATGTGGTTTAATGCCAATGGTGTAGTAATGGTGAGGCTGCAAACCATATTTTCGTTCCTGCGGACCACTGGTGGTCCACAGACCACTATCCTATAGGGATCTCCCTATAGGACAGATCCACTCTCCTATAGAACTCTTAAAGGCATAAGTCCGTTGTTCCATCAGACATTTGACAACCAGAATTATGCTGGACAGACCATTGGTTCTCGGTGGAGACATTGGGACTAACAGCCAGAAAACAGTCTAAATTAAGGACTTAATCAAATAGTTTTCCTCCTCTGTTTCTACACTTTTCGAAGATGGTTTAAAGAGGGACTCCCACAGAGCCCATCAAATGACTCAGGAGTGCTTCCGGCGGTTGTCACGGGGCTCCATCTCCACAACATGTAGAAACGGAAGGATTTCTAAGCTGGTCACACATCAACTCCACTCCATTGTATTCAAGTAGAAATACCTAAAAATTGGTATCTGTGTCTCTGGAATAGGAAGTGGTGGATTTCTCCTTTAAACTCCGTTTTATGAAGTGCCCCGTCCTGATCCTTCTGTACATTAGTGATTTGTGCATCCCATTTGAAAGAAATGTTTTAAAAGGGGTGCTTGTCTCCTCTGGAGTGCTGGAAGAAGCAAAGACCATCAGTATTGAAGTGATGGTCCTCCGCCATCAGCTCCGCTGGACCAGCCACATTGTCCGGATGCCCGACCACCATCTCCCAAAGCAGTTGTTCTACTCCAAACTCAAGAACGGAAAATGGAATGTTGGTGGGCAGGAAAAGAGATTCAAAGATGGGCTCAAAGCCAACCTTAAAAACTCTGGCATAGACACTGAGAACTGGAAGCCCTGGAGGTCAGCTGTGACCAGCAGTGCTGCAGAATTTGAAGAGGCACGAATGGAGGGCGAAAGAGAGAAATGTGCCAAGAGGAAGGCGTGTCAAGCCAACCCCGACCGGGACCGCCTTCCACCTGGAAACCAATGCCCTCACTGCGGGAGAAGATGCAGATCAAGAATAGGGCTCCACAGTCACCTACGAACCCACCAGAACACTGATCCTGGAAGACTATCCTACTTGGCCAACGAAGGATCGCCTAAGTAAGTAAAAGTGTGTCTTAAGAATGATGCCCTGTGTCTCCTCTAAGCAGATGATTGAGGTAGAAGCGGGAGGAGACACATTTGCGTGATTGGGGTTAGGAAAAATGAATTGCAAAATAGTTCCACAGATAGAGAGAGAGAGAGAGAGAGAGAGAGAGATAGACTCCACTTGCCTCATCTCCAGCAGACCTCTGCACAAACTTCTGAGGATACCAGCCACAGATGCAGGTGAAACGTCAGGAGTGAATGTTGCTAGAACATGCACAGATTATACTGTATATACACACCACTTGCCTCATCTCCAGCAGACCTCTGCACAAACTTCTGAGGATGCCAGCCACAGATGCAGGTGAAACGTCAGGAGTGAATGTTGCTGGAACATGCACAGATTATACTGTATATACACACCACTTGCCTCATCTCCAGCAGACCTCTGCACAAACTTCTGAGGATGCCAGCCACAGATGCAAGTGAAACATCAGGAGATAATGTTGCATACAGCCTGAAAAATGCACAGCAACCCAATTGCAAAATAGATACTCAGATGTGTCTTTGTATCAAAGGTGGCCCTGAAAAGTTTTAAAGCTAGGAAACCAAGTCATGTTTTTGTATTTGTTTTGTTTTTTTCCTTCCCAGTTCACAACCGACAGGCCTGTTTCTGTAACTCTCTCACAGAGACCACAAATGAAGGGGGAAGCTCAAGCTATGCCTCCAATTGCTGGTGCAAATTCAACCAAGAAGGGAAAACTTGTTTATTTGTCAGCAGGAGGCATCTTTTTTCTGGGGAAGCAGCGCCCCTGATGGCCCAAACGGGAAGGGGCGCTTCTCTCCCATGGCCTGATTTCCCAGAAAAGGCAGTGCCAGCCGAATTGGCCGTTATCATCTTTGGCCTGATTAATGTCTGTGATGAGAGGCCCACGTGACCCTTGTTTGGCAGTGGAAGTGGGAATTCCCCAGATCTGCAACTTAGGCAGCCCTTTGGCACCGGCAAGCAAAACAAAGGGCAGAGTGCTTCCTGGACTGAGCTCTGTTGCTGCACAATTTCCAGCTTCTCTCAGCTCCGCTGTTTTGAAGCTGCCCTGCTTGTTGGACACATTTTCTCCATTGTTATGTGTCTGCTCATAAATATAAATCCTAATCGAGTTTAGTAAGACTTACTCCTAGCCAGCATAGCTTATGTTCAACTATTATGTTCATGACTCTTCTTTGTGGAGATTAAAAACAGGGTATATACAAACATTATTATTATTATTATTATTATTATTATTATTGTCGAATCACTGGTTTGCTATGAGTTTTTCGGGCTGAGCAGCCATTGTCCAGCATTGTTCTCTCCTGACGTTTCACTTGCACCTGTGGCTGGCATCTTCAGAGGTCTGTTGGGGGTGAGGCAAGTGGAGTGTATCTATATAAATAAAAATGTAATGTTTGTTTGTGGGATTAACATAACTCAAAAACCACTGGACAAATTGACACCAAATTTGGACACAATGCACCTATCAGGCCAACAAGTGACCATCACTCATAAAAACACTGAAAAACACAGCAGAAGAGACTTAAAAAGCCAAAAAACAAAAAATACATTACAACGCACGCAAATATGCAACCACGCATATACACACACAAGATACATATACACAAACTGGGCAACAGCAATGCGTGCCAGGGGACAGCTAGTGTGTGTATATGTGTGTGTGTGTGTGTATGTATATGTATATGTATGTATGTGTATGTGTATATTATATATATATATATATACATACACACACACACACATACTGTGGAATGTCCAGAGTGGAAGAAAGAACCCTTGTCTGTTCAAAGCAGTAATTCCCAACCTTTAGGCCTCCAAATGTTTTGGACTTCAGCTCCCAGAAATCCCAGCCCGCTTACCAGGTATTAGGAACTGTGGGAGCTGAAGTCCAAAACACCTGGAGGACCAAAGGTTGGGAACCACTAGTTTAAATCAAGTGTGAATGTTGCAATTAGTATACTTGAATAAGCATTTGAGTAGCCATGAAATTTGCAAAGTCAGTCAGTGCGGGTATCTGCATTCAGCTCTATCCAGATACCCTCTCTGATTGACTTTGCAGCTTCATGGCTACTCAGTTCTATTCAAGCTTGCTAACTGCAACATCCACACTTGCTTTAAATAGACAAGGGTTCTTTTTCGCACCCTGGACATTCCAAAGGTGTATATACACTCCACTTGCCTCACTGTCAACAGAACCTCTGAAGATCAGATGCAGGAGAAACGTAAATGCTGCTAAGAACATGGCCATACAGACTGAAAAACTCACAGTAACTCAATAATAATAATAATAACAACAACAACAACGACAACAACAACGACAATCCCTATTTGGCCATGAAACTCATTCAGTGATGAGTTTCATGGTGGGTTTCATTTGATGGGCCAAGTCACAGATTCCCAGTCCTAGAAAAGTTTGACTTGGAATTGCCACAAGTGACAACCAAAGCAAGAGAATTTGTCATAGGGTCATAGGTTATGGCCATAATTGTTGTGTTCTCAGGGACAGGGGATTTCCGCCGGACTGCAACCAAGGAGGGCTGCCAGCTGCCCTTTGCCTCACCCTCAGCCCTTGTCCTGGCAAACAGACAAGGCAGCGGCTTCAACTTTGGTTGGGAAACATACTCACATTTCTTGGCTGGGGATCTTGGAGGATTGAATTATGTTCCTGCTTAATTGCCCAGAGTGACTGGATTGCTGTGAAAATGATAACCATTATATCCATTTGACTGAAGCACTCCTGGAACACAAAATGTATGAATGCCTGCCTAAGTAGGAAAAGTTTACCACTCTTCTTTTGAGTTTTTTCTGAATTCTTCTTCATGAGAGAGTCCAGTCTTCACCCAGTCTCATGTCTTGTGCCAACTATGAATTTTGAAACAGAATACAGGGAAATGTCCTCCACTTTATATCAAAATAATTAATTTGAGAGCCTTTCCTTATGCTCTTAAAGTAGCAACTGCTGGGTACAAGAGGGAGGAACCAGTCAATCTGGAGGAATCCCAAATTTTGCAGAAGTAAACAAATGAATGGGGGAGAACTTGGGAAGTTTAGTATCTTCTTGTCCAACGGTCATGGAATTGTGATGGAAGAAACAATCAAAAGAGGAAAAGAGAAGAGAAGGCGGGCAATCCTGAAAATAATGTATATGGGGAATAGGACAGAATGACTGACAGGAAATGGAGACGGGAAGCAGAGATGGAAATATATGGAAAGGATCTAGAGAGAACCGTCCAGTTCCTAGATCACTGAGAAGCTGTTTTTAACTCTTCTCAGAAATACAAGTGAGATAATCTTGTTGAAATCAGTTGAGAGACCCAAAGCTCCAAAGTCTTTGTGATTAATTTTTTGTGGTTCGCCCTAATCTCTTAATGTTTCTCCACGGGGGATACATAGCTTCCAACTGTTCTGATTAAGAAGAGATCGTTCTAATTCATCCTTTCCCATCCTATTTTTATGTCCTGGTTTCTCTCCTGAGAGCAGTACATGCAAAAAAGATCTTGGAGTCCTTGTGGACAAGTTAAATGTGAGCCAGCAATGTGATGTGGCAGCTAAAAATGCCAATGGGATTTTGGCCTGCATCAATAGAAATCTAGTGTCTAGATCCAGGGAAGTCATGCTACCCCTCTATTCTGCCTTGGTCAGACCACACCTGGAATCACACTGTGTCCAATTCTGGGCACCGCAGTTGAAGGGAGATGTTGACAAGCTGGAATGTGTCAGAGAGGGTGACTAAAATGATCAAGGATCTGAAGAACAAGCCCTATGAGGAGTGGCTTAAGTGCTGGGCATGTTTAGCCTGCAGAAAAAAGTGAGGGGAAGTCATAGGGAGGAGGGAGTGAACTTGTTTTCTGCTGCCTTGGAGACTAGGACGTGATGGAGCAATGGCTTCAAACTACAGGAAAGGAGATTCCACCTGAACATTAGGAAGAACTTCCTGACTGTGAGAGCTGTTCAGCAGTGGAACTCTCTGCCCAGAGTGTGGTGGAGGCTCCTTCTTTGGAGGCGATTAATTTATTGTCGAAGGCTTTCATGGCCGGAATCACTGGGTTGCTGTAGGTTTTTTCGGGCTATTTGGCCATGTTCTAGAGGCATTCTCTCCTGACGTTTCGCCTGCATCTATGGCAAGCATCCTCAGGGTTAGTGAGGTAGAGATGGCCATCTGTCAGGGGTGCTTTGAAGGCAATTTTCCTGCTTCTTGGAAGGGGGTTGGACTGGATGGCCCATGAGGTCTCTTCCAACTCTAGGATGCTATGATTCCTACTCACACTTGTCTCCTTTGTTGTTGTCTTATTTCAATTGCTGCAAACTGAGCTCAAAATGAAATCATAGTTTGCATTCAATTATCAAAGCAAAGTGGAGCAGACCAATCTGGTCTTCTCTGGAGGCTTGGGCAAAAGCAAACTGTTTCAGCCTGCCCTGACTTGTGGGTTTTGTTGTTTGTTTTTTTTTTTTTTTTGACATTAATCCCATTTGCCATCTTGACTGCACTGTGATGTTGCTGAGCCACAATTGTCCTGGGTTTCATTTGTGTAATAATGTATGTTATGAGAACATTCCCCTAACATAGGTCTGAAAATGCCTATTGTGGGAAAGGGAACTGAAGATACAGAGGAGCACTGTTTTGTTGCAGAGCTTAGCCACACTTGTCTTTTTATTTTATTTGTCTTCCTTTGCTACTCAATATCAACATTGAAAATACTTCATTTTTGCCTCTTTGGCAGCTTGAACATGGACGAGCCTCCGTTGGTCCTGGCTGCAGCCACGTTGGTGAAAAATATCAGCTACAAGTACAAGGAGGAGCTCTCAGCTCACCTGATGGTGGCCGGATGGGACCCCAGGAGAGGTGGGCAGGTAAGTTCTGGGAATCCAAAACTGGAATGCATCTGATACAGGAGAGACTTTATTTACTGTGAGAAATAACCATAGCAGGTGGTTCCTAACCATGGAGTTGGCTAATGTGTCCTCTGGGTTGCAGTGGAAGGTGGATACCGAAGATTTATATAGCACTAGGTCTGCCTGAGGATGTAGTGGTTTGATTTCTGGACTAGGGCTCTGGAGATCAGGGTTCAGATCCCATCTCTGCCATGGAAACCCACCGGTGGCCTTGTGTAAATCCCACTCTCTGAGCCTCAGAGGAAGGAATTAATCTTGCCCCTCCCCTAAAAAAAACACCATAATATGTTTTCAGGTCACAAAAAATCAGAAATGACTTGAAAGCACCAACAGTAGGGCTTCAAGTGGCTGAGCATGGGTTTGAATCTTAGTCTCCAGACTCTTAGTCCTACTCTCAAACCACTATACCACATTGGGTCTCCCTTCTATACCAGCTATTTAATTTATGTATGTATGTATGTATGTATGTATGTATGTAACGGCGCTCCATGCAGTCATGCCGGCCACATGACCTTGGAGGTGTCTACGGACAACGCTGGCTCTTCGGCTTAGAAATGGAGATGAGCACCACACCCCAGAGTCAGACATGACTGGGCTTAATGTCAGGGGACTACCTTTACCTTTACTATGTATGTATTGGTTGCATTTGTATGCCATCTTTCTCCTAGATTGTATTCCAAACTATTAAGATTTGACCATAATATTCCCATCCATCTGATGCCAGAGCTCATGTTGATCACACCTCCATTGAAGGATTGTTGGGAAGCAAAATGTTGTTCTGACGATAGCTTTCCCATTAGCCTTCAGCTTTTCAGTTTGGTCTTTGCCCTGAAGATGCCCAAGGAATAATCCCCCTTCTTTTCTGGGCCCTTCCATCAGGTCTACGGGACACTCGGAGGGATGCTCACCCGGCAGCCTTTTGCCATTGGGGGATCAGGGAGCACCTATATTTATGGTTATGTCGACTCGGCCTACAAACCCGGGATGGACCAGGTGGAATGCCGGCAGTTCACCAAAAATGGTAAGCTTCCTGTGGCCTGAAACTGCCTTTGGCCAATTGTTTATAGGCAGGAAGGGAAGCAAATGGTTGCCTTCAAGTAGTTTGACTTGTGTGAACCTATTGCAGGGTTTTACCATCAACTTCCTCTCAGGCTGAGAGGATGCGACTTGCCCAAGGTCACCAGTAGGATTTCCATTATTTATTTATTTAAAAGTTTTATATACCGGCCTTCTCACCTCTCTTGAGGGACTCAGACCGGTTTCCAACCATAATATCACATACAGTTAATAAAAACGTAATTCATTTTACACTAAACCATTAAAACAGCAATTACATTCAATAACTACAATGGTCAGTCGTCACACTAACTCGTTGTTCATCATCCTCCATCCATATCTGGCTCACTCGTCGAATGCCTGTCTCCATAACCAAGTCTTCACCTGTTTCCTAAATGTCAGGATAGAAGGGGCAGTTCTGATCTCCAGTGGGAGAGAGTTCCAGAGTCGAGGGGCCACCACCGAGAAGGCCCTGTCCCTCGTCCCCACCAGACGCGCTTGTGAGGCCGGTGGGACCGAGAGCAGGGCCTCTCCAGACGATCTTAATAATCTTGATGGTTCATAGGGGAGAATACGTTCAGAGAGGTAAACAGGGCCAGAGTCATTTAGGGCTTTATAAGTTAACACCAGCACTTTGAATTGTGCTTGAGTGAAGATGCCAACCAGTCTTCCAAAGTCTTAGTCCAACACATAAACCACTACACTGTGCTGGTTCTTGTAGAAGGAAATACTCATAGTTAAGAAACCCAATGGCTTCCATTCTGGACAGTCGGTGCTGATGAGTAAATCTGAACTGGTTTAGGAACCTTGAAATTCCAATTATGACACCCCAGTTGTGAATTCTTTAACTTGTAGACATTCGTAAGTCTGTCTATACAAGCCCTGGATAGGAAATGCATGGATATTCTGTTACAATCCAGCAGTTGTTTGAACCAACAATTCCAAGTTTTTTTCCTATTTAGGATGGAAATAATGTAACATTTTTTTAAAAAAAATCCTATTGTGGGGCAGCCTAAATTAATATCCAGGCCTTAGTCTTTTGGAGTCCTTCTGGGGCTGCATCCCTATGTATTCCATCAAGTTAAAAGTGAATCAGAGATTCAATATTTTAAGCTTAAATTACAGATAATTTCCATGCTAGGAATACTTGTATTTACTAACCGGGATGTACAGATAGAAATATTATGTGTATGTGAGCATCTGTTCAAGATCTATGACTTTTTCAAAATGGGCTGAATTCAGATTATCTCAAACTTCTGGGGCTGACTTGGCTTTCTTGCTTCTCTTTCCAGCCATTGCCTTGGCCATGGTTCGGGACGGGTCCAGTGGGGGAGTCATTTACCTTGTCACCATCACCAAAGACGGCGCCAAGGAGGAAGTGGTGGTGGGGGACAAGATCCCCCAATTTTACGATGAATGAATTTGTTTCTTTTCCAATAAAGGCTGCTATGATGGAACTCTCTCTCTGCGTGGTCCATTGGGGCAGAGGGGATCTCACCATGGTCACCAACAAGATGCTTTGTGAAGATCCAAAGAAGGAAGGGAGATAGTGTTGGTTTCTTGAATTGTTTAGAATTAGTTCCTGGCTTCCTCCTATTCCAGCCTAATGAGGGCAATAAAAAATGCCCTTGTGCTGTGGTAAGTTTGTAGTGTCGTCTAGTAGTGTCTGCACCTTCATCACACGCTTCATAATAATAATAATAATAATAATAATAATAATAATAATACCTTTATTTGTACCCCGCTACCATCTCCCGAAGGACTCGGTGCGGCTTACAAGAGGCCAAGCCCAAATACAATAGTAAAACAATAACAACAACAGCAGCAAAATAACTCAAAAAACAAAGCAATGACATAACATCACACAATGGCGCAATTAAAATCAATGGCAGGGCCAAATGTAATAATCAAGGTTAAAAAGTGCTGGGCATGACCAGGTGGTTTGGAGGGGGATGGCTTACCTGGGAACTGCCGTTCAACCAGATTAAATCACTGTTTAATTTTTTCAAAAACTTCATGTTTTTCTTTTAACACATAAACAAAATTAAATCTAGAAAAATCATCCAAAATTATCAGGAAAAATCTAGCCCCTCCCAAGTTCAAAGGCATTGGGCCTGCAACATCACAATGAACTAACTGAAGAATGTCACTAGTCCTTCTAAAACTTTGTCTAGCCACAGAACAGCTCTTCAACTTTGTTCTATTGCAAATGGTACAGTCAAGAAAATTATCACAGCTAGACAGCTTTAACCCACATGAAAGTGCAGTATTATTCAAAGCTTTATAACCCACATGTCCCATCGTCCTATGGAATGCATGTACACAATTCATATGGAGAGAGACATTTTTAAACAATTTACAACATTGTCAAAACCCTCATGAGTAAGAAATAAACCATTTTTTTCAACCAACCGTGTTGCAACCCCATTCTTTTTGCACACAATTTGATTGCTTTCATTATTGAAAGGCACTTCAAAATCCTGTTTAAGTAACTGAGAAACACTTAACACATTGTGTTCTAACTCCTTTACAGAAAGTGTTGTCTTTAAACTGTTCACAAACACAGAGCCCTGCATTTGAACATCCAAAGTTTTTCCATTAGCTAAACATACATGATTAACACTGGGTGCATCTAACAAAACATTTTCTCTATTTACAATGTGAAAACAGTTCCCAGAATCCACAATGAAACGGAGACCATTCTGATTATTGTCCATCCTATCTATTAACATTAATCTTTGTCTTGAAAAACCTTGACACGAAGCTTCCTTATCTTCTGCAGCTGGCTTGAAAAAAGTTTTTCTTCTCCCCTTATCTTTCGCAGGACAGAATTTGGCAACATGCCCAGGATGTTTGCAGTAGAAACAAGTTTTAACTACAGCACAAGTGTTTAAACTTAAGCCCCACTGTTGGGAAGAACTAAGTCGAGAAAAGTCTTTTTTTTTCATCTCTTGGCAGCTTTGAAATTCCAAAATTTTATTTACAATCAGATTAGGCATAAGTTGATCATCCAGCAGCACACCGAATGAACCCACAAGCAGGGTATCATAACCTTTGTTCAAAGCAGAAAGTAACACCATAGCTTTATGCTCTTCAGAAAAATCTAGTTTTCTAGCAGCCAAATCATTAAACAAACTCATCATGTTATCAATAAACAGTTTCACATCCTCCCCAACATTCAACTTCATGCTATACAGCCTTCTACACAAGGAAACCTTTGCCCCAGCTGACGCTCTTTGCAGCAGCTACTTTAACTCATTCCAGACCTCTTCTGCAGTTTTAAAACTCCTAACATGACAGAGCATTCTATCACTTAGACTGAGAACAATAGTAGCTCTTGCTTTTTCATCCAAATCTACTTCTTCAACCTTGGTTGGATCCAGTCTGGTCTGAACAGCTTTCCATAACCTCTCTTTCACCAGTAGGCACTGCATCCGTTCAGCCCACATCAGGTAATTCTCTGAGGTCAGCTTCTGAAAAGAAAACAAAGCAGCCATTGCCAGATAAGGTTAGTAACTTTTAAAAACTTTTAAAACCCTATCTAGACAAGATAATATATTTTCCTGGCTGAGCAGAATGTACTGCCACTAGAAAAGAGAGAAAACCCAACAGAAAAACTGACAAAGCACAGACAATCTATTTATTTATTTATTTATTTATTTACTTTGCTTATATACCGCTGTATCTCTAGCTCAAAGAGATTCCTCCTGGACTAGCAGCAGAGACCACTGAAGACAATAATGGCAGAGACGACTTTCTGGATCTGGGCCCATAACCTGTCGTGTTTTATCTCACAATTCAGCAGCAGATCAGTTGCACAACTTCAGCGCTTTCCAGTAGCTTCTTCCTGCACAGTATTTTCAGTCAACTGCTCCCACAGACTGCAGTCACTCTGGAACTCTTTACAGACACTTGAGCACATGCCCGGCTATTGTCAGTTTTACCATTGTTTTCTCGCCCAGTCTAGATGACATTACAAACTTACCACAGCATACAGTTATATCTTGTCTTAGCAGACAGGTTTTTTTAATTACATATAGCCTTCGATGAACAACATCACAGGAGAGAGAATACACTGTACATGACTTCCTTATATACAATTCTGTACATTTACACATAGCAATCTCTGATTGGTTCCCAACTCATTAACTTAACTCAAACCCAGGATTGCATCATTCATAATCACCTGGACCAGGCCAGAACACATTCCCCAAATGATTCCCTATATACAGTTAATGCATGACTCAGCATTTCCAATAGAAGCCTATTAGCAGTGCATGACTCAGCTATATTACATTACAATACATTGTAAAACCTGACACTATAATTATACATAATATCTATAAATACACATAACTGCAAGTTAAAAATTTACACTTCACCACACCATCCCTCAAAGTAAGGAAAATATGCCATTGATGTTTAGATGGCCTGACTGAACAGGTGGCAAAAGGTGTTGAACACGTGGCAAAAGCTAGTCACTTTGGATATCATTTTAGAGAGAACAGGCTGAATATAAATAAATAAATAAATAAATAAATAAATATTATTATTATTAAATGATGATGTTATTATTTGGATCATTATTGTGATCAGTCTGATCACACATTATGCTTTTGTTTTTACTGTGCTGCAGGAAGCTAACGTAATAGTTACTTGAAGTCATTATCACAGCTACTATTACACCACTATGGGCAATTCTGACCTGGGACCTTGAAAGGTCTGAGAATAAAACCATTATTACAGAGTGTACTACAAGAGTGAGGAACTGTAGAAATCAAAGGGATGACATTATCCTGCTAGCAGACTTTGGGGTGGGGGAGGCATACCATACCATACAGAACAAAGATTCAATAATGCCCTCTAGGAGCCATGGGGACAGCAATATTTGGATAGGACCAAGTTGGGAGATGATGAGCTAGAAACTAAGCCAAACACTGGTTGTTCCCTGTCACCACACCTTCCCCATTCTTACTTATTAGGTTGCTAAGATGTCATGGAATATTATCTATAGTCCATTGAACTAGCTCAATGTGTTAAGGTCCCATGTTTAACCCCTTTGCCAACCCAGATGGTGAGGAATTGTACAAAACCAGTCATGAGAACTCTGTAATTTCTCGATGTTCCATGTGACTAAACTTCTCACACAAATCAGCAGCTGTGCTTCCTTTTATCTACCTATAAACAACATGATTCAAAACTTTATTGAAAAATTGTTTTGAAAGGGAGTCATCACTCACTTGATGTTGCTTCATAGGCTACCTTCTCTCATATTTTCTCTCTAGAGAAAGAAAGAATTAATCAGTTCATTCTTGTCCACCTTGGCAGGATGCCCATCTTTACTCAGAAGGAAATCCTATTATCTTCACATAGACTTGGGGGCTCATTACTTAAAACTGCACCAGGACTGAGGTGCAGCTGGCTGGGAGTCAGCTGCATTAAGATCACTACTGACCAAAAGGTCATGAGTTCGAAGCCAGCCTGGGTCGGAGTGTGCTTCCGGCCAATTTGTGTAGCTTTTTGTTGACCTTTGCAACCTGAAAGACAGTTGCATCTGTCAAGTAGGAAATTTAGGTACCACCTATGTGTGGGGAGGCTAATTTAACAAATAAAAAGACATAAAAACAGCTCCAGCAAAAGCATGCGGGGAATGCGGAAAGTACTTCAACAGTGTCACAGATGGACGGTGACGCAACAGCTCCCCTAGTGGCCAGAAAATTGGAATGTTAAATAGCCTCTGAGTGTCTGTCTATATGTGTTGTGTGTCTATGGCATTGAATGTTTGCCATGTATATGTACACTGTAATCCACCCTGACTCCCCTGCGGGGTGAGAAGGGCGGAATATAAATACTGTCAATAAATAAATAAATATTCTACATACTTATAAATTATTTTTAGAGGAGAAACCACTGCAGAGCAGAACACAGCTTAACTGAAAATACAAAACAAACAATAAAGCCCATAAAATAAATAACCAACATAATAATGTTGAAGATGGAAAAAGGAAACAGCATCCCAGCAACTTAATTTAAAACATCACAATTATAATCCAAATGCAGTTTAGAATAAATAATTATTTTATGCTCCCAGTAAAAGCCAGCCAAGAGGGGTCCATGAGAACTCTCTCAGAGAGGACACTGCGGGGGTTTAGAGACATTTGATGTTGTATGGGGAAAATTTGTTGTAAATGGTTTAAAAAACAAAGAAGGAAAGTTACCGCCACAAGAAGAATTGAGATTTTGGACAGACGATATGTAAAAGTTGTGGCTTGATATGGGGGGAGGGGAGCACAGTGGTGGGAAAAAAGGAAAAAATATGCTTAAGAAAATATAAGATTATATGTTAAAGAGTGTGTTCATAGAATCATAGAATCACAGAATCAAAGAGTTGGAAGAGACCTCATGGGCCATCCAGTCCAACCCCCTGCTGCCAAGAAGCAGGAATATTGCATTCAAA